TGAGCTTTACTCAAAGCTATAGGGATCTACCACTTGAGCTACAGCCCGCTTTAAGCTTTCTAGTGTTCTCCTGTTGGGTTTTTGTGGGGGTTTTTCATGGTTAATTAGAGATAAGAGGCTCACAAACTTTCCTGATCTGGCTGGCTTTCAACCATGATACTCTGAATTTGGCCTCCTGAGTAGCTGTGATTACAGGTGGAAACCACTGACACCCTGCTAGGTTTTGCTTTTCTTCGTGAAGACAACTAGAAATAAAACAGACTGGGGGCACAGTTGCAGGGCGGTGAATGCTGGAGGTCCTGAGTTCAGCCCGCACTGTGCCCCACCCACTGCGGGAGAATTTGGGTTGTCATTGGTCATGTGTTCTCACCCTACCTGTAAATGTCTGGGACAGCACTTCTAATTTAAAAAAAAATCATTTGCAGGGCTGGGAAGGTGGCTCAGTGGTAGAGTGCTTGCCTTGCATGCATGAGGCCCTGGGTTCAATTCCTCAGCACCCCATAAGCAGAAAAAGCCAAAAGTGGTTTTGTGGCTCATGTGGTAGAGCGCTAGCCTTGAAGAAGAGCTGGAGGACAGACAGCACCCAGACCCAGAGTTCAGGCCCCACAACCGACCCTCCCCCCTCAAAAAAATCATTTGTTGTGCCACTCCTGGGGCTTGAGCTCAGGGCCTGAGACCCTGACCTCTTTACCTCGAGGCTAGCGCTCCACCACTTGAGCCACAGCACCTCTTTCAGCTTGTTCTGAGTAGTTAATTGGAGATAAGAGTCTCTTGACTCTTTCTCAACTCTATCTTTCCTGCCTGGGCTGGCTTTGAACTAAGATCCTCAGATCTCAGCCTAAATAGATAGGAATACAGGTAGAAGCCACCATCACCTAGCTCTCCTCTCACCTTCTGAGTAGCTGGGATTACAGGTATGTGCTACCAGTGCTGGCTCCTTTACTTTTCACTGTCCCAGGGACCAGCAGAACCATTGGGCTCTATCTTCCTGATAGCGCTTCCCTTATCCACACTATATCCACTTATAGGCACACTATCACAGTTACAATACACTTTCCTAATACAAGCTGTCCACGGCTTTTGGAGGTCCCAAGGGTTCCAGATGCGGCCAAATTCTGTTTCCTTTTTATCCATCTCACCCACACAGCCCTGACTTCCCATTCTGAACATCCCAATGCTCACATGCTAATTCAAAAGGACTCCCCCCCCCCAAAAAAAAAGCCAGGAAGTTGAGTCTCTGAAAAGACTCAAAAACAAAACTGCATGAGTCTTTCCCTAAATCCCTAAAGATAGCTAGAAACTCCTTGACACAGGAGCTTTAGTCACTTTGAGTGTCAACTCCTCTGGAGAAAGCACATGGCCTTGCATGATTGGCTTGAGGTGTGATCATGCACTGTGTACTGGGCAGCAGGCATCCTGGGAAATGAGGGGCCAGGGCAGCGTGCAGCTCTGGCCGTGGCTGTGGCATTTAAGTGCAGTGGGAAGCCTGAGTTTTGTGACCCTACCGTATGAAAAAAATTGAAAACAAGCCAATTCCACAGCAGTGTCACATCACAAAGCATTGCCAGTTTAAAAGTGCAGTCAAGCCAGGCACCGGTGGTTCATGCCTGTAATCCTAGCTACTCAGGAGGCTGAGATCTGAGGATCGCAGTTCAAAGCCAGCCCAGACAGAAAAGTCCATGAGACTCTTTGTTTTGTTATGTTTTTTGGGTCTGCTCATGGGGCCTGAACTCTGAGCCTGGGTGCTGTCCCTAAGCTCTTCAGCTCAAGGCTAGCGCTCTACCGCTGTGAGCACTACTTGCGGCTTTTTTCTTTTTGCTTATGTGGTGCTGAGGAATCGAACCCAGGGCCTCAGGCATGCAAGGCAAGCGCTCTACCACTGAGCCACCTTCCCAGCTCCAAGTCCATGAGACTCTTATCTCCAATAAACCACTCAGAAGTGGTGCTGTGGCTCAAGAGGTAGAGCACTAGCCTTGAGCTGTAGAGCTGAGGGATAGCACCCAGGCCGAGTTCAAGCCCCAGGACAGACAAAAATAAATAAAAAGTGCTGTCACCAAATCAGCTTCATAATTAACTTTTTCCACATTGATACTTTGGACCTCTGGTAAACAAACCTGTTATGTTTCATGACCCTTGCTTCTGGACTGTCAGTCGAGGCTCACCGGGGGCCTTTTTTTGTATAAATTTTCCCTAAACACTGGCAAATGTGTCTTCAAATGTTTGATCAGCAAGGGCAGAGCTGGGGTTTGAACCTGAGCACTAGAGCATGAAAAACTATTGAACTACCATTTATGGAGCAGAAGTGAAGTGAGAAGAAAGCAGGCTGTTAATATTAGGGGAGTATATTATTTATGGTATATTATTTAGATTGCTCGCTGTGAGATTTTATATGTAAAAAGATCATGAATGCAGGACTGGGAATGTGGCTTAGTGGTAGAGTGCATGCATGAAGCCCTGGGTTCGATCCCTCAGTACTACATACACAGAAAAAGCCAGAAGTGGTGCTGTGGCTCAAGTGGTAGAGTGCTAGCCTTGAGCTAAAGAAGGTCAGGGACAGTGCCCAGGCCCTGAGTTCAAGCCCCAGGACTGGCAAAAAAGAAAAAAAAGAAAGAAAAATAGAAACAGAAATGGCTATTAGAATAAAATCAGAATAGTATTATGTCTACAGAGAACTGGATGGACCTAGAACACTTATGTTAAGTGAAGTCAGGGCCAGAGAGACAAAGCACATGTCTCATGTGGAAGCTTGGGCTAAAATATAACCCTGATGACATACCCACACTGATTAAAGAATGGCATGCTCGGGGAGGAGTTCAAAGGTGGAACTCCTGAAGGATCATTTAACAAAAGGAATAACAAGTAGAAGCCTGTTTGGGGGGATGGAGGGCATGGGGGGCACACATAAAACAGAAGGAGGAAGGAGAGTGACTGCAGATACCATGTTCCATGTACATTATGTAAACACTGAACTATGTAACTTGAGAGTAGGGATGGGCCGGGGAAATGGGGGAGGAATGAAAGAAGAGGTAACATGGATCAAGATGCACTGTACTCATACATAATCTGACTTAGGTAACTGTAATCTTAGGTAACTGTAATTTTTTTTTTTTTTGGTTGGTCGTGGGGCTTGAACTCAGGGCCTGGGTACTGCCCCTGAGCTTTTTTGCTCAGGGCTAGCACTTGGAGCCACAGAGCTGTTCCCAGTTTTCTGGTGATTCACTGGAGACAAATGTCTTATGGACTTTGCTGCCCAGCCCAGCTTTGAACCACGATCCTCAGATTTCAGCCTCCTGAGTAGTTAGGATGACAGGCGTGAACTACCAACACCTGGCCAATAAAAATTTTTGTTAATGATAAAAGGGCAGGGGGAATGGCTGCCATAGTAGTGCACCTTTCTGAGCAAACACAAGGTCCTAAGTTAAAAACAAAATTAAGCAACAACAAAACAACCAACTGCTGAGATAGGAGCTGGCAGCTCCCAGTTAGAAGGCTGAGACCTGAGGACCACGGTTCAAAGCCAAACAGGATGGACAAACCACCGAAAAATTCTTATCCCCAATTCACCTGGAGGTGTAGCTCAATTAGTGGAGTGCCAGCCTCGAGAAAAAGGTTAAGCAAGAGCTTCCGGTTCAGAGGTCAAGCACCAGTACTATAAACACATGGATATATGCATATGTGTGCGTGGGCGCACACACATAGAGGAATGAGTTATTTCCTCTTTTTGGTACTTCGTTTCAGTTTGATTTTACAGGTGTTTTTTTTTTTTGGGGGGGGGTCCGGTTGTGGGGCCTGAACTCTGGGTCTGGGCGCTGTCCCTCAGCTCTTCAGTTCAAGGCAAGTGCTCTACCACTTAAGCCACAGCGCCACTTCCGGCTTTTTTTTTTCTGCTTATGTGGTGCTGAGGAATCGAACCCAGGGCTTCATGCATGCAAAGCAAGCGCTCTACCACTGAGCCACCTTCCCAGCCCCTCAGTTTGATTTTACATACATATAGCTCAAAGAAAATCCTTTCTAGTCATGATTTGCCAAGAATTTTTGTTAATCATCAAAGTTTATAAAATACTTTATCAGAATCAAGTGATAATGGCTCCTTCCACCTAAATCTATGTGATTAAGTCTATTTAATATTAAACTATCCTAAGTCTGGGAAGGTGGCTCAGTGGTAGAGCGCTTGCCTTGCATGCATGAGGCCCTCGGTTTGATTCCTCAGCACCATATAAGCAGAAAAAGCCGGAAGTGGGGCTGAGGCTCAAGTGGTAAGAGTGCTAGTCTACAGTTGAAGAGCTGAGGGGCACACCCAGGCTCAGAGTTCAGGCTCCAAGACCGACAAAAAAAACAAAACAAAAAAAAATCTTTATGTTTATAGAACATATATACTACTTTAAGCTGAGTGTTGGTGGCTCACGCCTATCACCCTAGCAAGAGGCTGAGATCTGAGGATCACAGCTCAAAGTGAGCTTGGGTAGAAAAGTCTGTGAAAGACTTTTATCTCTAATCAGCAAAAAGCCAAAAGAGGAGCTGTGGTTCAGTGGTAGACCTGCTAGCCTTAACCACAAAAGGTCAGGGACAGCACCCAGGCCCTGAATTCTAGCCCCAGGACTAGTACCAAAAAAACCCACACATTTTAAATCAAGAAATTCACTATTATAAAATAAACACTTCATGTTTGAAAAGGTAAGTCTGAAAACCAGAGTCCAGAAGTGCCCCTGAGCATGTTTTCTAGTCCACGATTCTCCATTCAGCCCACTGTTTGAATTTCCAATGTGATCAGATAAAGATTTCTATGAATGCTAACAGGCTGTGATGGAGGGCAGAGCAGATACTGGATAAGGACAGAAAATACCACGTGCAATCTCAGAGACCATTTGTCATAAGTCATGAACAGATGTGAAACTATTAGCAGTGCTCTTACCAAATTAGGAAAATAGAAAAATAGAAAACTTAACTGGACCAAATTACCCTACCAGGAAGACTCAGGAGAAAACGAGTGACACGGAGCATTCAGATTTTCCATTTTATTTAATCAAAGACTGGTGGATAAACATAAATACAGCACAATTACTTCAGATCATTCTTCATATTGTATACACAGACCAATGAACGTAATCTGAAAGAAACTTGCAGTCAGCAGTAAAATGCATTCAGCTTTTTCTTCCCTCGCTCAAAAACAAAAAAAAAGAAAAAAGAAAAATGAAAAAACACACAAACTTAAAATCTCACCAGCACATACTCTCGTGTGACAAATGATCCTGACATAAATAGTGGTGCAAAGAAACTATGCTAACGTATGTATAACCTTTGTTAATGGGGAAACAAACCAGAAGCAGCCATAATGATTAAGATACATTCAGTTACCAATGAACTAGCTGTGCCCGAGGGGCCTGGTGAACAGAGGATTGGTGTGAAAGAGAAAAGCTCTATCTACATAAACCACGAGGACCAAGCTGCAGGACAGCGCATGCGCGTGTAATACTGGAACCCAACACAGCCCTCCAAACTCACTCTCCAGGCCCGCTACGAGAGCCCTCTGCACGCAACTAAAATTAATCTTGAAAGAATAATACTTGCAAAGTTTAAGTCTTTTCAGCCACAGAAACTGCAATGGAAATAAATGTTCAGAGTCATTTTCAAAACAAAAACAAAAATCTATTCTTCTGATGACATGCATGATTAAAGGTCTATGCAAGATAACGCTGCTCTACATTCCCCACGACTAGAAAAAAACCTCAAGTCAGTTTTTAGTTTGCAGATGGTCAAAGGGTTTTGTATTCCAGCAGGAGCTCAAATCTTCTGGATCTTTTCACCAACAACTACTGGATTTTCTTTTCTGATTTTCTCAGCAGCATCAGCCTTGTAATTGTAAGAGCAGTTGTGTACATCTGAGTAGCGATGCACACCACAGTAAACATTTCCACACCGGCATTCAAACCCTGCAAGCAGTCAACATACACAAGTTAGATGACAGCAGTGTTCACGTTAATTAGCATCAGGCAAAATCATCCTAATTAATTTTGTTTTGTTTACTTCTGGTGCCAATCTGAGAGCTTGAACTCAGGGCCTGGGTGCTGTGATCAAAGCTAATGTAGAGCCACAGCTCTACTTCTAGCTTTTTTTTTTTTTTTAAAGAGTTTATTTTAAGGACTCTCTATGTGTGTGGCCTTAAATCTTTTACATGGCATTCAGTTTTGGGGGATTAGAGGGAGAAAGGTTAACCATTCTTTTTTTGTTTTGTTGTTTTTTGTTGTTGTTTTTTTGTTGTTGTTGTTTTAGGGTCCGGTCATGGGGCCTGAACTCTGGGCCTGGGCACTATCCCTCAGCTCTTCAGCTCAAGGCTAGAGCTCTACCACCTGAGCCACAGCGCCACTTCCGGCTTTTTTTCTTTTTGCTTATGTGGTGCTGAGGAATCGAACCCAGGGCCTCATGCATGCAAGGCAAGCACTCTACCACTGAGCCACCTTCCCAGCCCACTTCTAGCTTTTTTAAAAAAAACTTTTTGGTGCCTAACTGGAGATAAGAGTCTCACAGACTTTCCTGTCCAGGCTGGCTTTTAACTATGATTCTCAGATTCTCAGTAACTAGGATGAGCCACCAGCCTCAGGTATCCTGGCATACATTTTTTTTCTTTTCCTTTTTTTTTTTTTTGGCCAGTCCTGGGGCTTGAACTCAGGGCCTGGGGACTGTCCCTTAGCTTCTTTTTGCTCAAGGCTAGCACTCTACCACTTGAGCCACAGCACCACTTCTGGCTTTTTCTGTGTATGTGATACTGAGGAATTGAACCCATGCTAGGCAAGCACTCTACCACAGAGGCACATTCTTAGCCCCTGGCATAATTTCTTTAGCTGCACCCTTACAGGTCACTAACAATGAGCTTTATTTCTCATTTTTATCTGTAAACACAAATCTGTAAGAGGGCAGGACTGCTTCCCTGAGCTCATGTTTCTCAGCCTTTCTTCCTGTCAAAAATACGCTAAATTCAACAATTAAAAAAATAAATAGGCCGGGTAGCAGTGGCTCACACCTGTAATCTTACTCAAGAGGAGGCTGAGATCTGAGGATCTTGGTTCAAAGCCAGCCCAGGCAAGCAAAGTCCGTGAGAGTCTTATCTCCATTAACCACCAGAAAACTAGAAGTGGCACTGTGAGCTGAAGAGCTCAGGGATGGCCCAGGCCCAGAGTTCAAGCCCCATGACCGACAAAATAAATAAAGAGCCCCTATATCACTCTAAATCATTTTACATGATAGAATGTCTTTGACTATGTCAACCCAAATTGGAAAAAGTGTGAGAATAAAGTAAGCTAATAAACTAGGAAAAAAGAAATGAGACATTGGAAATCTCATCATTTTAAAAATCAAAATGCTGAAATGTAAAAGAAGCCTATACCAACAGGAGGAAACCTCAACGTTTAATTTGGAAAGATCAAACACCCTTCTGAAGGGACCATCGAGGGGCCGAGGGGCCACTGGTCACCCTGCATTCCTTTGCTAACAGGGTGGAGAGCAGCCGGGGTGGGCACAGGTGCCAAGTTCCTTAGTAAGGCGGCGCATCACAGCACCTGAGCCTCGTGTAGGCACCAGGATTCCAGAAGAGTTAAGCCACCATGCTTAGTACTGAAGGACTGCAGGAAGCACCCGATGGGGAATAAACACGCAGGAATGCCGCTTTAATTTCTGAAGAACTCCTAAAGCTATTTTCCTGAAGCAGGATTTCCACTCAAGATCGTATCTGCTCTTGTCAGGACTTTGTGCGGATTATTCAGAATAATGCCTGGCTGGGGTGACACGAATGCAGCAGTTTCTAGCCATAATTGCTGCCCTCTAGTCACCCTGGGCCTGTGCTCGCCGCCAGATGGGCAGCGCCACCAGGATTCACGCTGCTCCTTCAGGGCTTGGCGTGCACTTTTAAAAGCAGCCTCCACACATTTAAAAAAATATATATATATATCTGAGACGAAGACTGGCTAGTGCTCTACCAACGTTGGAGCCATGCTTCCAACCCCAGCCTCCACACTTTTAAAAGCAGCCTCCATTTAGAGGCTGGAGGCCATCCCCTGCCTTCCACAGGACCTATGCTACCTGCCTGTCTACTGCCCTCAAATCCTGTGGAAACCAGGTTTTAAAAAGCCATTTATTTTATGACCAAGTATGGAATTCAAGCTTTTTTTTTTATTTAAGAAAGATGGGGGAGGTGGCTCAGTGGTAGAACGCTTGCTTTGCATGCATGAGGACCTGGGTTCAATTCCTCAGCACCACATAAGCAGAAAAAGCCAGAAGTGGTGCTGTGGCTCAAGTGGTAGAGATATTGAGGGACAGCGCCCAGGCCCAGAGTTCAGACCCCACAACCAGAAAAAAAAGAAAGATCAGGGGGCAGAGAATGTGGCTTAGTGGTAGAGTGCTTGCCTAGCATGCATGAGGCTCTGGGTTCAATTCCTTGGTACCACAAAAACACAAAATAAAAGTAAAAATAACCCTCACAAATTACTAAAGAAAACCAGAAGCGCAAGGCTACTTATCGAGTAGCCAGTGTCCCAGCAACTGTGGTGACATGACACTCTGCACTCTTCACACTGTTTTTTTTTTTTTTTGGCGTGAGTGCCGAACCTAACGTCTTTGTCATTGGTTAGCGCTCTACCAACCAAGCCCCGCTCCCCCTCCCCCCCAGCCAATCCCTACACATAAGCCACTTCACCTCACGGACATGGACACTCACCAGTAAGGCCCACTTTCTTCCTGCACATGAAACAGCGATTCTTTTTCTGTTTTGGTTTCTCAAGAGACTTGCTTTGCTCTTCAGATGGCTGCTGTGCTGTATCTGCTACCGAAGCTGACAGAAACAAGAGAGTGTGAGTCAGTGTCCAGCTGTCCCTGGCCACTCGGGTACGTGCCAGCCCACCCCACCCCGGCCTGCAGCTCGCAGGAAGAAAATAGGGGTTGTGCACTCATTACTCACACAAATAGGTGCTCATCCATTACTGGGTTTCTCCAGCACACAGGCGGAAATACACCCAGAGTATATAACTGACATGTGAACACAACTCTAGATGGTAGATTTTCTTCGTTTGTTTAAGCTGCATGCCCTAATTAGTTTTGAAATTATATACTTGACAAAAAAAAAAAAGATACAAAGGAGGAATGCTACTTGGGGCTTCTAGGCTCCAGTAAGGCCTCTGTTGCTCTCTTCTCCAGGGCTCACCCATTAAAATATTAGAGAAAAGAAAATGTTGTGATGGACAAGTAAATTGATACACTGATGCACTAAAGCCAAGACCAAATGTACTAAGACTGAGGTTCGCTTACTACTCTCTCCCCCATTTCCCTGTAAGCAGGCCCTGCTTGGTCACTAACGCCAGGCCTTCAGTGCTGTCCCCACAGGCAGTGACATGACACAGGAGACACTTTGTTGTCACCTGTGAGTGCCTGTCACCACAGGGGCCTCCTCTGGGGTGCACAGACACCTCTGCTCCCAACCAAGCTACAGGACAGGCCTTCTCTTCTCCTTACTCACTCTGCAGCTTCTCCATGAACATCCTGAACACTCAAGCCCCTGCACCCCTCTCCACTAATCCTGGCTGCTCACCCTGCAGTCAATCATCTGTCTCGAATGAAAACCTACACATGTTTAAAACTCAGGTGGTGGCAGGCACCAGTGGCAGTGCCTGGCCCTGAGTTCAAGGCCCAGGGGCCTGCTTTTGTTGGCCTCACACCCTGCTGTGAATAGGGAGGACTCATTTCCACTGGCTACCAATCACCTGTCCTTCTCTTTACCTGGCTAACTCCATCTGGCCACCATTCGCCCGTCCTGTTTACCTGGCTAACTCTATCTGTAACTTCACTCCATCTGGACTTCCTGCTCAACTCCAACCCAGTGCCCTGACCAGGAAGTGCTTCCTGTGTGTCCACCACACCTTTCCACAGCCTGCATTGCCAGCTGGCCTTAGCCTGGCCTACGTGAGTTCTCTGAGGACAGGCACATGCACAGTGCTCACCGCCCCCAAGGCCTCCAAGCACTGTGGGGCTGCCCTCTGTGCCCCACATGCAGCTCCAGGAGCTGCCACACTCAGGCGTTCCAGCATCGCCCTTAGCTAACGTGCTATTCAAGAATCTCAAACCAGCTGACAGAAGAAACTGAGCAGGAAGGAAGGACTCTGCAATGACTGCCTCGTCTACAGAGAAAGTTTTGCTTTCTAAAACAAAAGCAGGAACACCGCACACATTTTATTCCTAGACTAGGAGGGCCTTGAGGACAAGACTTGAATGTCTTTCTTACAATTTTATCCCCAGTACCTACAAGAATCAAATAAGGTTTGACTTTGTGCTTAGAGCTCAAAAACAAATCAGTTTGTTGTCTTTGAAATAGCTACCAATAATCAGTTTTTCAAACCAATGATATTCAAACAAATTAACAGAGAAAATGGTTTAATGCCAGTAAACAATATCACCAACATCTTAAAAGACAAAAAAAAAAACAAAGAAATAGGCCAGGCATCAGTGGCTCATGCCTGTCATCCTAGCTACTCAGGAGGCTGAGATCTGAGGATCTCAGTTCAAAACCAGTCCAGGCAGGAAAGTCCACATGGGCCTTATCTCCAATGAACCACCAGAAAACTAGAAGTGGCACTGTGGATCAAGTGGTAAGAGTGCTAGCTTTGAGCAAAAGAGCACAGGGGCAGCAGCCAAGCCCTGAGTTCAAGCCCCATGACCAACCATACCCCAACCCCAAAGAAAAAGAAAAAAGCCCCCCAAACTGGTGTTAACTATGGATACAAATGTGTGATGGGTCCTGGAAAGGCAGACTGAAAAGACATCAGTGCCATGCACACAGATGCTACTTCATGCCTAAACCAAGGCAGTCCCAACACAAACCTAGAGACGGGAACAGATGGGTTCTCATCACGTGAAGCAAACGCACAGCTTTAAGCATTAGGGGACTAGAAAAGCCTTTTGAGAGCTGCAAATGTGGCCTAGGGGTAGAGTGCTTGCCTGGCATGTACTAAGTGATTCCTTAGTACCACATAAACAGAAAAAGCCAGAACTGGCGCTGTGGCTCATGTGATAGAGTGCAAGCCTTGAACAAAAAGGACAGTGTTGAGGTCCTGACTTCAAGCCCCAGGACTGGCAAAAAAAAAAAAAAAAAAAGCCTTCTGATTAGTCAGAAACCTGGGACCAATGAGTGTCAAATATTCGCCTCAATCTTACCTGAAATGTGGCTAAAAAGCCTGAATTTACACAGGCACCATTTGAATTCATAGGCTACTATACTGTGTAAGTCTGGTTCCCAGAAATGACTGTTCCTCAGCTCTTCAGAACTGGGTGGCTTCCCCCATTTGGAAATGGAATAGTCATGAAAAAACTGGTGAATGCATGCCCGCGGCGCCCCAGAGCTGCCACAGCTCCCTGTGGGAGGCCCACGCGACCCGCTAACTGAACTGGAACCCGGCTAGAAAAGGCCTATGCACTGCCCTGGGCGGGAACGTTAAAGTTTAACTACCCACATGGAGGATCACATTCAAGAGGAACAAGGCCCTCTGCTCTGGGTCCTATGGAAAGAAAAGAGAGAAAGCAAATTAATCACAAGAGTATACACTCCTCCTTACACACTATGTCTGCTGGAGCATTTTCATCCACAGTGTAAACACTAAAACAACACAAGGTATCATCAATATCCCTAACATTACCTAGCTCATCGTGGCCAGGGATGCCTGTCCACGTAATGCTGGAGGCCAGGTTGCATCTCCTTAATCCTTGATGGAGGGCTAAGCTTTTCTCCATTCATTCTGGCTGTGTTCCAGGGCCTCCAGCACACAGGTACGGCACCAGGGATCTACCCCAGCAAGACTCTGGGAAGGCAACTATTTCTTCCTTCTATATACTACTGTGGAGCAGAAGGTCTCTCACACGTACCTGCTTGGGCAGGCATTAAGCCACGATTCTTAAGACTTCAGCCTCCGGAGTAGCTAGGATTATGAACAGGTGTGAGACTCCAGTTGCCTGGCTGTATCTGGCATTTTTTCAGGAGCCACATTAACAAGTAATAACATCATCAATGACAGAATACTAATTAAGGCTCTCTACCACATGAGCCATACTCAGCCCACGTTCATTCTTTTGAATGCAGAAGGCTGGCATCTGTCAGAAATTTGATACTTGTAGGGCTGGGAACGTGGCTCAGTGGTACAGTGCTTGCCTCTACTTAGCATACACAGAAAAGGCTGGAAGTGGCACTGTGGCTCGAGTGGTAGAGTGCCAGCCTTGAGCAAAATGGAGCTCAAGAACAGTGCCCAGGCCCTGAGTTCAAGCCCTAGGATAGGGAAAAAAAAAAAAAAAAAAAGATGATGCTTGTGCTATTAAGTGATGCTGGACCCTGGAAGACTTGAACACCAGAAGTGCATAAGGGTGTGAAGACTTCCCACCTTGTTCCCCGGATCCATGAGGAAGCACTCCAATGGAAACTGCAAGTCCTACAGCTTGACCGGTCTTTCTCAAGACCTTTTGCAACTTTCATCCATTCTCATTTTTAGCCTCACCAAGTTTTCCCAAATGAGTCCAAAGGAGTCTTTCCTGTGATTGCTGAGAACTCACGTTTAGACAATTCAACTTGTATGAAGAACCCTCCAGCCAGGCACTGGTGGCTCACACTTGTAATCTCAGCTATGAGGCTTAGATCTGATGATCATGGTTCGAAGCCAGCCTGGGCAGGCAAGTCCATGAGACTCTTATCAACAATTAACCATCAGAAACTCGAAGTGGTGCTCAGTGGTAGAGCGCTGGCCTTGAGTGAAAAAGCCCTGACACACACACACACTCTCTCTCCTCTCTCCCCCTCCCTCCCTCTCCCTC